TTGCTCATGACAGTGGTACCTTTAACTCTAACTTCCCACAAACAGCTGCCTAGTTGCTCACAACACAGCAAGTGAAGTTTGATTAAAGTTGCAGATAACGTCTTACTTGTTGCAGATCCAGCTCCAGCGGCTAGAAGCAGCAAAATCACAGACGGAACCATCTCTAACCACGGACGACAGGTGTGGTGTCAAGCATCACCTCCAAACATAGGTGTGAATTTTCAGCAGCCAGTCAGATAAGATTACACTGCTGTTGCCGGGTAGATGGTGAATAGTTTTTTTTTTGTTTGGACAGGTGAAGCCAAAGGAACTGAAAGAGTTGAACTGCAAATAAAAGTGAAATATCAAGTATTTTTAAAGGAAAGGGTGAAAAATGTGGCATTGAAAGGGACTTAAAATCCTCTTTATTTGTGTTTGTGTGCACATAAATGCATGAGTTGTTTGTCACAGGAAATAGTGTTAAATTGTGGACCGTGTGGTCAAACATGATTATATAGTCAGTATCTGTTTTTACAATTTACAATCGTAGTTATGTAAATTATATACAGTGGACGATTTTACCATCTCTGCATTGCTAATTGACTAATTTGGCTCTTAAGTTAAAAAGCAATGCTTTAACGTATGCAATCATGTGCAGTTTTGGACTTCATAATAGTAGCAGCAGTTTGTTATCCCCAGAAAACCTGTAGTGCTCCTTCACCTGCTTTTGTTTGAATATTTTATAGTTTTTTTTCCTTTCCTCGTCTGTTTATTTATTGCTTCACTATGATTGTTAGGCAAGGACACACTCTGCTGGTGCACTTGCTGAACTCTGGGACTTTAACTGCTTTATTTAGAGTCTAATAATGAGGACTGCAGGTGTTTCCCGTTGGCAGATTCTGGTATTTTTATCATAGTATGTTTTGCTGAATGTCTCCTCGGACAGGACAGATGATTGCTTAAACGGAGAATTTAATGCCAAAGTGACATAACAGTGAATGAATGAATGAATTAAAGCCCATAGTTTGATTAATCTACAGAAACATACATTTGCTTTTGAACATTTCGATGATGAACATGTCTTGTGCAATAGTTGTTAGTTTTGGAGGTAAAAGTGTGTGTAGTGCAGCCATCAGACCATCAGGGGGCAGCATGCACCTGTGGCTTCTCCACCATGTTGGATTTCTTTGACACTCCAGCTGAAGCTTTGGACATCATGAAATGTGTATAAGTTAGATGCAAAGATGCCCTGAACAAAGTGGAGAATGGCAAAGTTGAGCCAACAGAAGAAAAAGTAAATAAAATGTTTGTAGATATCATGAATGACTGACCAGCAGTCCAGTGCGCTCTAAAAAAGTCATTCAGGGTTCATATTCACACAACTTATTTACATGCATGGCTGCAAGACAAAAATTCAGATTTATGGGTTTAGATAAACCTTCTACATAAACAGTTTTTAAAGTAATGTTGAGCTGATAATGTTGGTGATTGCATCATTGTGTGATTTAAAGTCAAATTTTGATATTGATCAATTTAAATTGAAATCATAGAAACTTACAGAGATATCGCTTAATTTTCTCTTCACCATGAGTTTAAAACTCCAAGTCCTCTCCCCTGTGTACCAAACAGGCCTGAAAAACGTACCTGTAGTCTGAACAAATATCAACCAAAGAGCATTTCAAGATGAGCTTCATGTCTTTTACAAGTCA